TGTTGATCAGTTCAGCCTTCTGTGTGGCATAGTCCACCAATGAAAATGTGTAAAGGAAAGGAAATAATGCCTTTTGGGCTTCTTTGCCTGCCTTGTGCCAGCACAGAGTTCACGTAGGTCCCTCCTCTCCCTAGAGCGCAGGAACATGGTATTTAGGACTTTCGTTAACTCGCACATTAATGACACTAATTACACACTGCGCAGCTCTATTAGGGGATGTATTTATTTCTATGGAGATGAACTGCTACACCAGACTGGCTGTGAGCGGATCTTCTGCTATGTCTTCTTATTGATGAATTTAGCATCGCTCGTGAGCTGTATTTGTGTGTAGGAAGTAGAGAACTCGAGTGTGCCCTGTGTACATCCCAGTGCACTGTATTTCTGCTCACAGGTGAAGCTCTGCTCTTTGCTCTGACAGAGTATACAAGAAAGAGAATCTGGCTCTTTTAATTTGGTTTTCCCTTTCCCTTTCTCTTCTTCTTCTTAAATCCCTTTTCCTCTTAGAGATGTGTGCTGAAGATGCAGAAGGGCATATGGTGATTCTATCAAAAAACACAATTTTGGCATGCGGTGGATAAATGTGAGAGCAAAGGCTCAGTTTTCTGCTTTTGATGGAGAGTGTCCTTGCTGGTGTAAAGAACCTTTAAAAACTTCCAGCTAAGTCTGATTCGAGAGGTCAGGCATCAAATCTCACCCGCGCAATCTCCTGCTGCACATCATTCTGCTACTCTCAATCTCTGTTTTTGTTTAATGGTATTTATCCGAACTCCTATATCCCTTTTTCTTGGAAAAAATTATAATTAATCGAAAGAGGACAGCTCTTCACCTGATAGAAAAAGGTGGTTTAGGCTCTGTTGCAATATTATGCACTCATTCTGTAAATAAAATGGGACCATAAATCCAGTGATTTATCAGAGTTTGGTCTGGCCCAATCTCTTTATTATCTTCATGCTGTGGATCACCTGCCCTTCAAGCAGCCATGCGATGCATGACAAAAATTAAGATGCAGCTGACAAAGGCGAAGCAGTTTCCATTTCACAAGTTGAAACTGAGTAATGTGGCCTACAAATAATGGTGATGCTCCTCATACCATTTTAGACATTCCAGTGCCAGGATCCAGACTTTACAATGGTTCAGAGCAACCTCAACTTTACCAAGTGCGTGCAGTAGAAGCTCTGATGTCTGTTCAGGACTCAGGCTGCCTTCTGCAGTGCACGGAAGAGACGCATAAGTGAGTTGCTGGGGGAGACTGGAGGCTGCTCAGACCTCTGGCCAGATGTTAGGAGACTTTGAATGCAAATGAGAACAAAGGGAGTGGCTGTAAAGCAGAGAAGCTGAATTGCCTTGGAGGGTTTTGGCCTAGAAAGGTTTTTGGTGGAAAGATATTTTAAATGGTCCCAGTCTGTACTTCTCCTTCATTTTCTATTCAATGTTTTTCCACTGAGTGGAAACTCAAACTGAGTTGAAATGGTCCTTCACATAGCTCTGATTCTTACCAGCAAGTAAACCCTCCCTCTCGGAGCAGGTATTTGTCTGAGACTTCCCACAGACACTATTTCCGACCCCCTCAAATCTCTCAAGAGCTTTTTCTTTCTCTTTGGTTTTACTCTCCCTTTTACTTTCTCCCTCATTTCTCCCCCATCTCTTTTCTCTTTCTTCCTTTTGCTCTGCTTCTTAGCTGATGAGCCCATCCCTATCCCCACATCTCCTATTCCTCATACTTGGGCGTGTCACTTTCTCCAATCCCACCACTGATTCCAGGCCTTTCCTGCATCACTTTTTTTCCTATACTAGGTTTCCCTGCTCAGTACCTGAACTCAGATTATCACAGTGATAACCAGGCTTGTTAGCTACTGAATATACTACTTCTGGTCGTCTCTATGCATCTTCTATTAATACATTTCCAACAGGCTATTCCTCCCATCCCTCAACTCCTGTGCACGTATGGTAGGTAGAACTCATCTCACCTCACTTTTGGTACCCAGGAGTCAGATGTCAAGGTCTGACCGCTACAGGATCTCTTTACAATCAATAGAGAGAAAGGATAGGAAGGGTCTGAGCCTCCCCACTGGCTCTAAAGGGAGCTGTGATTCACAGGCATTCAATTTTTAGACATTTTGAGGGAGATGACTGTCACCCACAAAGCAGCACGAACAGCAACCGGAATGGTGATCAGAAAATGGAAAGATTCCGAACTGACCACTTCCTTCCTTTTCGTGTGCTCAGAGCTAGGAAAGCAGCAAAGTCTGCAGTGTAAAATGCTGGTTGCTCCTTTTGAGTTTACAACTATCTAAAAGCAGTTACGGAAGAGGTCATACAACATGAGGTCAATAATAGTAGAGGACTGAAATCAATCAGCCAGGGGATTTCTCCCAGTCCTATTTTCATAAAGATACATATCCTCATCCTTAGGGGAAGAACAGTAAAAATATGATCAGTATGTCCCTTCTCTGTGGCTAAAGGGAATCAGAAAGTCTGAAATACTTTGAGCATGAGGGTCTCCCAGCTGGATTGTTGCAGCTAAGAACACTATAAAAGGAAACTTACCATAATGGCTTTAGCATTGAACCCCTGCTGACCTAACTCTATCTGGATATATCTGACTTTGTCAACAGAATACTTTGAATATTTTGCTGAGTTTGCCATCTATTCTTGGACTTTTCTTTCCTTGCTGAGTAAATAAAACCTTTTGTACCACATCTTGTGAAACAGTGCATGCAATTAACCCTCGGTGTCAACAGTCAAGCACGAGCAGTGCAGATACAGGTAGAAGCTGAGAGTCCTGAGCTCTCATTCGAGAGACATGAAGTTCTCATATCATTCTTTGAGGTAGGCTTTTGTATACAAATCAGCAGGACTGTCACAGCTACAAGAATTCAACAGAGTAGCTGGATACAAATCTCAAAATGGCCAACCATTAGTATTGGCACCAAGTCTCAAATCACCAGGGGAGATCTGGGCCCAACAAGAGATGTAACAATTTTCAAATCATTTTGGTACTAAGTACAAAAAGCTTCACCGTTGCTTGCTTAGGATGGCTTTTCAGAAAAAATCAACTGAGTCCCTGGCATTATGTACACACCTGATCTAGACAGTTGCTCCGTAAGTAGCGTAGTGCTTGCTGTATGCTCTGGGGAAGGGGCTGTCCCGTTCTCTGGACATGAACTATCAGAGGCACACCAAAGACGTTCTTGTCCTTGTAGTCAGGGACTTTCATCCTCTTCATGAACTTTGGCACGGACCTGAAAATTAAGATGAACAGGCTGCATGAAAATATCAGAGTATTTACACAGTCTCTCTGAGTAACTCTGCTGGCAGAAATTGGTAACTGGGGCCACCTCCTTTTTTATAAAGATGGTGAACTAACATGTAATGTACGATACATGGACACTTCACAATCTGTATAACTGGTGGATTTCATGACAACTTTTATAGGTAGATGGCCTCCGGCTCTAAGATATAGCATAACAATCTGTTCTAACAAAAAACTTTTAATATGCAGTTGTCATCCAGCTGAAGCCAACATGGTTTAGGGATTCAAAGGAATGGCACAGCAAAGCATAGTGGAGAGAGTATCTGAGAGAAAAGGAGGTTCAGTCCTCTAACACGCTGAATGATTTTTATACTACCAGTTACATGATTTAGCATTTCTATTGACTAACAATTTACAGTAATAAATGATGGTGGGAAATCCCTACGTGCCAGATTCATCCCTGGTGTTATATGATTTATTCTAGTTGAGTAACTAAAGTGAAGCTGGTGAGCTTGCTTTCTTCCAAAAGTGATGGTGAAAACGAGAACAAACTGGATTCCCTTTGTGGGAGTCAAGACTGCAGTGAAATTAAACAACAAAAAAAAGGCGAATATGACCTGAATGTGACAAAGATGTTTCTCATCTGTATGGGAAGGAGATAAAATTTGGATTAAATGACCTACTGAAGGAGTACAACATTCAACTTTACAGCTATTCAGCTATTTAGAGTCTCACTCTTATAAATCCTTAGAGACTGATTATACAAACTGAAGAAATATGTGTCACGAGGTAAAACCTCTGTACAAACAGCGGGACCTAGAATTTGCTCTAAGCCAGTCTGCTTATTTGGAGCTGATTAAGGTGAGATTCATTCCAGTACAGATGTCAGCTAGCTGCAGGGAGCTGCACCAAGGGAGAACAGCGATCTGGGGGTTCATCTTATTGAATTTTAGCTTTCTAACAGAGATTTAGAAAGAGTTTGCAGTCCAGACTGCCTCTATACCCATTGTGGAGTGAGGCACCTCTGGAGAGTAGCACAGACTCTCAACCTTGGATAGAATGAGCTGCCTTTGGAGTTGCCTGTCTTTTTTCACTGACCACAGACAGGTGACCCAACTTGCTCAGATTAGACTCATAACATTTCAGAGTGGCTGATGTCAATGAGGTGAATCTCACATGTAGTCCTTTGTATCTATTTTTCCAGTTTTGAAGGCAAACTTGCCTTATCTAGCTCACAGTTGAATTTAGTGGGATTTTGGTGAAGTGCTTTGAACACGGAAATCACAATGTAAATGTCAAGTTGTACTATTTTTGTACTCAGTGTCTCTGTGTACTAGGGAAAGTTTCTGTTATCCTTTTGATTATTTCTCAGGTCCTTATAATCTCTGATCTATGCCCGTTTCCATTCCGGTATACCTCAGTCTGTGTGGCCCATCACTGTTCGTATGCTATTAAATATGCAGATTTCTGTAGCCAGTTGCTACAGAAGGAGCCAGACTGCCAGTCTTCATGTCCATCTGCCCTTCACTCCACTCTCTGAGTGACCAGGTAGCTGCTACAGCTGCCACAGCTGCAAACTCCCTCTAACGCTGATCCAGAACTAGGCTAAAGCTTTGCATCTTTTGATCTGCAGAGAAAACCGTAACTGTTCTAACCCTTCTTTTAAAGCACAAACCAACCAATATCCAATACACGAAGTATCAGCAGCAGCTGTTTCTTTTCAAATCACAAAATGAATTCTGGGGAAGACTTACTGTAAACATTTCCTACTTTCAATCACTCTCTCCTACTCCTGTTTATTTTTCTGGAACTGGAGTGCTGTTAGAGAGGTTGGGGTTGTCTCTCTAACTGTTAGAGCACAGGAATGAAGTCAGACCTCCAGGATCTATTTCTGACTTTGCCACTGAGTCACTAGGCAGCAACGGATTAAAGTGAACAGTTTAAAATTCTACACCTGAAGTCAGTTGTTCCTCCTAATTGCATTTACTGAATTTACTATCAGAATAACAGAATTAGGAGAAACTATTTTCTTCTAAAAATATCTCTCTTCCAGTTATCAATGGTACTCACCAGGTCCAGCCATGTTTGTTTGACATGGAGTACTTTTCCATGATGGCAGTAAGACGAAGCAGAGAGAATTTTTGCAGTAGATTCAGTTGGGCCGCTGACTGATTGCTGATGTGAAGTGATGCGATGGAGTGGCTCAGGCGATGAGAGATTTGGAAACTATGCCATCGTAATCGCCTTTAGCAAAAGAAACAGTAGAAAAATGAGACAACTGCTTTAACTAGGCAGAAGAAGATGGTATACTGTGAGACCGGGCTGGGCAATATACAAAACATACATAAGCATACACAAATGTTATGGCTAGTGGTGTGTCAACTGAAAGAAAATGTAGCTTGGAGGCAAATAAAATAATTTGCTCAATCTCCTTAATTTTGGAAATGCCCAATTTTTGATTTTTTTAATGTTAGATTCACAAATGGGTGTGGGTCCCATCCGTGTACTCAGAGGAGCAGTGCTGCCTGCTCTGCCCTTCAGCCCACACATTTCCAACAGGATGTGGGAGACCCAGAATCAAATGTTCTCTCCCTGACTCAGCTGGGATTTGATGCCTGGTCCCTCACCTCCCAGGGGACCAGCCTGACCACCAAGGTATTTGGAGATGAGGTTCTCCAAATATCTCTATTATTAAATACTGAAGGATTTTTTGGAGTAAGGATTGAACTCTGTGTCTCCTTGGCAAGAGCCGTAACCACCAAACTATTGAGCCACTCACATCTTCTCTTTACTCCAATACACTTTCTCTATGTACTGGATATATCGGGAAAAAAACCTCATTTCAGTCTCTTGTTTTGCTAAACTTGAGTTCTGGCTCACATCCTAAAATCTTTGGCACTGCTCATTTACTCGGCAGTTTCCTCGAATTCACTTGCTTATGATTGTGGTGAGCAAACACGGACAGCAGTAAACCATGGCACGGCAGAATCCTCTGTGAGGACGTGACAAGACTGAGAGCAGATCGGAAAATGCCGGGTATTTTCTCACTGCTTTTGCACGTACAAACCCACTCTGCACTCAGCAGTATGGATCCGCAAAGGCCTCTACCCAGGATCGTGCTCCCTTGGCTCAGCAGGAGCTCATCCCTCTGCCTTGAAAGAGGTCTGCAAGCTATTAACAAAATTCCACTTTTCACTTTTATTAAGAAGTTAATCGTATACCACCATTTCATCCAGTCACATAAGGGACTGAGGCAGGGTAGGGAAGTTCTCTTCGAGCACAAAGCGACACAATTTAAAAGCAGACCAGTACATTAAAAAAGTGCACACGGATACTGATGGATAAATACTGAGGTGCATAACTTAGAAGACAAGTTGAAAATACATCCCACAACCTATACAGGGTCCTACTATATAATCGATGGATCAAGAGAGAAAAAAATGCCCTAGTTTGCTCTGTTAAACCAATTCTCCACTGATTCCACACAAGAATTTCCCTAGCAGGGTGTCCATTCTCCCTAAGTCCCACCTTTCCCTGGGAAGTCCCTGTCCCCATACAGGATTAGTACAACTGTAAGGGTACCCTGCACCTTCTGACCCCCAGGCTGAGAGCCTCTGATTCTTTAGATCATATTTCACAGTCTATGGAATTGTGTACAAAATCTTGCTACCTACCTGCTTGGCCTTGTGAGTGATGCTCCCACCCCAGAGTCTCTCCTGTCTCTAACACCAGTGGCTTCAGATTCGTTCAGGGATGTTCCATCTCTGTCCATGTCACTTGGTGTGGTCCGGCCATCAGAGACAGAGTTTCCTTCAAAATCAAGTGTGATCTGTGTGGGCGACTGGAAAGGCAATGACGGAGATTCCCTGACCGACACATCATCAACTGGCAGAGCTGGCAACACGTTCTTTGACCAGCCATCTACCACCTCCTGGAGTCCGTTGACATGTTGCAAAATGTCATCTAAATGAGGAAAAAGGACATCTTTCTCTAAGTCCAGGAGGTCCCCAGTACTAGCATACAGGTGGGAACCTGGCACATTGTCATAAATACTAATTCTGCTCTCTTTGGGACAACAAGCCATCATCAATCCAGGCTCTTTTGGAGTAGAGCAGTTCTGCTTTCCCAAAGAGATGCTGCCTGTCCTCCAGTTTACACTGTTACTGTTGTCTGTAGGTGAGAGGCTTTCAATAGAAAGTGCCTTTGGGAAGGTCCCCGGTTTGTGGTCCTTGGGAATATGCACGACCAAGTTCTCTTGGGAATGAAATTCGTTTTTGCGGTTTTGGTCCACCACTTGCCGTAAGGCTGTTCCTTCCAGAACATTTAGGTCCTCCAGATACATCCCACCTCTTTTGTTTGCTTCATGGCATTTGCGTTCCTTCAAACATGGTGTGCTCACCCCACTGCTGCTGTTTTCGGATTGACTGCCGTCACTGCTGGATTTGGTAGAAAAGGAAAGTCCTCTTTTGACTGAATCTTGACCTAAGTTCTGGATATCACCATTGACTATCTGTACACAGTGCATGTCTTTCAAGGATTTCGGCTCATACTGGAGAATGGGTCCACTTATCTCTAGAGGACCTGTTCTTCCTGAGCCTTTTAGTTTTCCATGCACACCTTTTGCTTTTAGTGTCTCCATGCGTTTTAGAAAGGTTTTTGCTTTGGTTCGTGTTGGTTTCTCATTCTTCAGGTTGTCCTTGGGGGACAGGGTGGTGTTTATCGCAGTGGAGTCTTGCAGCAGCGTGCTTTCTACATCATGCTGGCCAGAGCAGTTGCAAGTCTCCCTGACAGCACTGCTGATGCCTGACTGACTCCTGCTGTCACTTCCCCCACTGCTCTCGCTGTGAATAGATGAGACCTCAGGTTCACTCAGGTCTGTAAGGACGCTCTCGCTGCTTGTTGTATTTTTCATTTTAATGTCCCCAGAAGATCCATGTCTGTCTGATTGGTGAAGCAAAGCATCAATGTCGTCCACCCGAGACCATCGTCTGCTGGTTCTCTGGAAAGTCCATTTATTACTGATCGCACAGAGGTCTTCTTCATCTGAATCTTCACTCTGGAAAACAGCAAGTGGCACATGTTAAAAGCAGGTGCTTTTACTGGTTATTTGATTTAACATGATTGTGCTGCTCCATGTGAGCAACAGGTGGTAAAGTCTCCCTGAACCTGGATTATGAAAGATTGGTCATCAGTTCTGTCATAATAGCCTCCTTCATTTAATTGTAAAGATTTCACTGAGGAACTTAACAAGTAAGGAATAGGACCCTGCTCTATGTTAGGGAGCTCATCACTTCCATCAATGTCTCTTGGCTTCTGTGGGGCAGATTGCCTGTGCACTGAACTGTGAAGGACTGATGCCCACAGTAACTGTTCAGAAAAAAACAGGTTCTGAAAGGTCCAAGTGGAGAGATCCTGACTTACAAAGATGGTGTTAAGATACACATGGTAAAGACTGGGAAGGAGCTGGGTTCTACAGCAACGTGAGCCATTTAACAAACCAAGACGGCAAATATCTGGTGCTGCACTTAGTTTTGCATTAAGAATTAAACAAACATCTATAAACTTCACAGACCAGGTACATCTAACAAGATTTATGTTTCGGGAACATAAGTACAGATAGATAGTCACGATGTTAAAAATAACAGCAAAAAAATACTATTTGGAGGTATCGCTTAGGGTGGGTCTCAGCGCAGGCAAAGGGAGGCAGTGGAGGCAGCTGTGGAGGTGTGGGGAGGAGGAGCAGCTAGGCTCAGTCCTGGATGGGGCAACGTCTACAGTTGAGGTGAGCTTTCCTACAGTGGCAACCACCATCTTCATTGCCTTTGCCATCAGAGGCACTCCAATCTTGATGACCCCCAGCCTGCCCCACTGTCTCTGGCTTCCCTCAACCTCTCCCAAGGCAGCAGCAGTCCCACAACCCTTCCTAGTCTCATCCTTCAGCTTGGGGCATGCCGAGTTGTCCTTATGTTTAGGCAGCTCCAAGAGCTACTCTGCAATGCAGACGACATTTGCCTTGAAAAAAAAATTTGGATAAAAAGCTCTCCCTATGACATTTTTCTTATCTGTTTGCTCAAACAAAAAAGATACATCTGCAGCATGGAACACACAGTCAGTGTCCAACTTGCTGTTCTCTAAGGATGTGAAGCCCACGGTTGCTAATGAGTATCCTTCCCTTGACTTTGAACTGAGTTTATACTGCATTATTCTTGCACATTTGTTTTAAAGCAGAACAAACTAACTTCACCTACATGACATCCAAACAGCTCTTCACATTCTTGGAAGCAGTATGAAGGCAGTAAAATATGACAGGCTGTCAGACTAAAATGAGGTGCTAAACCAGAAAGACTATTTTAGGACTGGAAAAATTCTCATTTTAAAAGTCTATTATTAGAAGTATTTTTCTATGAAGTTTTGATGGTAAAGTTATCTCCCATCTCTGACTAGATCTCCATAGGCCTGTCTAATTGAAAAATGTAAAACAAATTTTACCAGAACCAGTACTCACTAACGCCATAAGCTGTTGCCAGTTTATCACTTCAAGTCGGACAGATGTTTTAGATCATATCCAAACCATAAAATGAAATACAGCTATGAAATTTTAAGTTTCGTCATTGCTCTTTTATCTGTTAATGTTGAGGTGTGCAGCGCTTCTGCAGCTGACACTAGTTCATAGGAACGAATGGAGACCTTAGTTCTGCGGCTAGCTAGAGAGAAAAATTAAGCAGCTAGTTAAGCAGCAGGAAAGGGGCTAGAAAAGGCTAATTCTGCTTTGGCCAGTTTGTCTGCAGGGAAGAAATGGCATACCAGACAGCTCTGCCTTGGTTTCAACTCCACGGTTTGCTGTATGCATATACAGAGCGAAGGATTGCACAGACTCAGGCACTTAAAAATCCATCTATTATGGTCTTAGTAGTGCCACGAAGTGGATATTTTAAAGACCGCAAGAGTATGTACTTTTAAACATTTAGTAGCGTTAATTATATCTACAAAGCATACCACTGCTGAAGCGTTGATGGCACCAGCCAATAGGATAAAAATATATTTTTTTAATTTGTTGTACATCCCAGTATGCCAAAGGGGACTTTAAAGAAGATTTTTGGCTGACACAAATGCCTCTAGCTGGACTGACATTACTGTACGAACTGACAGGATTTAGCCCATATTTTCTACAAGCTGGAATCGATTAAACTAGCTAAAGTGGTAGAGACATCGTGAAAAACACCAAGAGGACAGCACAGAGTAGGAGACAGAAATAAACATAAATTCAGTTGTCAATATACTTTAAATCATTTTTAGAGGAAAATATGTTTTAAAATTTTTTAAAGGAAAGTAGAGATGAACAGAAATGGATATTGGTAATAAACCACAACTAAGATAGGATGACATTCTGCCCAAGAGCCAGTCAGAAAAAACAGAGTTTTCAGTATCGAAATTTGCAGCTAAATAAAAAAGGTTTAGTTTGTTTGTTTTTTTTTTTCCTTTAATTGGTAACGAAACATGCTTGTGTTTCTTCAGAAGAAAAATCAGACGAAGTATCTGGATACTGAAATGCTGCCATGGTGACTCACTCCAAATTCGGCTGTACTGTGAGTCCTGTGCTTTTCTTTTGATGGAATCAGTAGAAATTCTGGAAGCCACGAACATCCTGAGTGACCCACTGTTCTTGTTAGATATCAGAGTGCCCTGACAAACAAGACTGTCCTAAAAAAAATGCAGAGAGCACTTTGCCAACCAACATGTCACCAGCTATGGGGACAGAGGATCCAGAGCAGGTCTGAAAGCAACGATCCGCCTTACACAGGAGGAGCAGACATCTTGGAGCAGTGACTGTATGACCTAGGGTGAAATCAAGTGCATGGCTTTGGCGTGTATTCAAAAGTCCATTTAATACCATTATGTTTGGGGAGACGAGAAGGGGCAAGTTTCTTGAGAACTGACTGATAACATTTGCCAAAGAGAAAGAGGTTTTGATTCACAGATTTGTCACAGTTGATTTAAAATAGTGCAGCTTTTCGACTGAGGGTATACTTTCCAGAGATACAGAGGGATGCTAACAAAAGGCAAAAAAGCGGGTTTATTTGTGGTGGAATTATGCCACATTTTTCCAGCTGGGGGCAGGAATTCTCATAAATCGACAGCTGCAGAAGGCATTTAATCCAAAGGCTAATCTCTGTCTGTCCAAATCGCTTACGGACATATTTGCAACACATACGCGAGGATTTCTGTACGCATCTCGATGAATCCAAGGGGAAGAGTGCAGCCCAGAGTGTGGATGTACGGGGTGGGAGAGCGGGCAGTGGGGAACGCTCACCCCGTGCTGGTTTTCACACTAACCTTGTCTGGCAGCTTGCTTGGCCGTATTTTGATGAATTGCTCAAGCAGCTGCGCTAGTCCTGTGCAAACCTGTTATGCTGAGCCTCCAAAGCAAGCTGATGTTGCATTTCATTGTTCAGATCACCATAGAGACTATTAGGAAAGGCAGTATCTACAGCAAAAAAAGTTTACTTGGTTCAGTCTTCAATTCCAGCCCCAATTTCCAGCTTTTACACTTGAATTTACATTTCCTCCGGTCAGTAGTCCCTCCTCCCTCTTCCTTTCTCCCCTACGTTCTCTTCTACTTTTGCTTGCTCTATATCTGCCATCTCAAATCTCCTTCATCCCCTCTTTCTCTACATTTTTCTCTGCTCTGTTTCTCCCTGGCCTTGTGCAGGTATGGACCCAACTAGCTTCTGTCCCCCTGAAAGAGTACCAAGTAGGGCAGTTTCACTTCCATAGCAAATTAATGGTCATCTGCAAAGAGAGCAGCTGAGGGCTTCAATCCATTAAGAACAGGGAGGAGTGGCAGCAAAAATTAATAAAAAACAAAGGTAATGTGAAAATCCTCCTTTTTTTAACCCAACATAATCAGACACTTAAAGAAGCAAGCAAGCAAGCAAGCATACAAACCTCACACCAAACCCAAAATACTTGTTGAAGAGAAGAACAGGAACTGAACAGAACAATCAGTGTTCACCTGTATGTTGCTTTTCGTAATTGTCTCTTGCGCAGCTCCAGTATCTCTGCTTGAACACAAGTACAAGAGCTCATGGACACAAACCAGACACTGCTCCAAGCAGGTCAGCTCATCAATTAAGTTGTTTTTTGCTGAAGGACCTCAGCCTCTTCCTACAGCACTTACCTGCCCAAATCATAAAGTTATAGTGCAGTCAGGGGATTTTACTATTCCTTCTCTCAGATGTGACATGGGTGTTTGACGTGGAAAGTGCTGGCACTTATCAAAGACAAGAAAAAGCCATCGGGTCTGAATCAGTGAAGCGAAGGGGTCCCTGCAGCTCCAGTGAAGGGACAAAATGCAAGCTAAAGAGGCTACGTACACAGAGGAACAAATGGGCATGTGCCAAAGGCAGAATATCTGTACATTAAAACCATCTTTTTTCAAGTTCCCTCAAACTGCGAATAGAGTGTGAATAGACTGAATCTGCAAAGACACCAAAAATGCAACTCTCGGAGGTATAGACAAACACTTTAAGGAGGGAAAAACAGACACCAAGATTTCTCAGAGTCGACAACTACCATTGTACACCACTGAAGGGCTTGGGGGAATTTGTGACCAGAAAGTCAAACGTTCAACAGTTAATGTTACATTAACATGTTACAAAACTCTCAAAATCAATAGGCAGTTTCTACATTCCTTGTTGAAACCCTTTAAGCTCAAATAATTCCATGTTACACAGGAGCTTGTAACAATGACAGAGTTTATTTTCATGTTCTTAACTGGGAATAAGTCAGTACAAGAAAGAGAGAAAAGCTATTGTTTTTGTCTGAGCAGCTTCCATTTTTTTCCGAGCAGGATTTTCCATTGTGTACTCACATGGCACTGGCAAACAAGCCAGCCTAATGAAACCACACTGTCTTTCCACTCGCTAACTTGAATTGCACATACGTAAAGTTTTAAGTACTGCGTGTGCCCTTTTTGTTCCTGCTGTATTAGTCACGAGTTTTTTTCTATTTTATTTGCAATTTCAAGATTCAGCAATTCACATTATCAGGTGTCCAGACAATGCTGACACACAGGTTCAAAGTCAAACACACTTAACTTACTTTTAAGAGCATTACTGATTTAAAGACTAAATTGGGGAGGTCTTATCACAAAAACTGGGGCAAAGCCAGCACATTTCCTGAAACGTCCTTACCTTTTTTCTTTGGAAGTTCACATCGAGTTTCATTGAGGCGCACTTGTTCAGTGTGTTCAGTCGTCTACAGGGCAAAGCAAAGTCAAAAGATTAGCAGCCTCCAGTTAAAGGGCACGACTTTGTAAATTCAAAAGCTTTTCTCTTATCTGCCGGTAGGGTGCTAACGGCATACGACAGACTTCAGGAACGATATTGGTCGTGTTATTCCAGGTTATAAGACCACTGAGTTAAATGTGTGAGCTTCACAGAACTTGATAGGCCGGTTTTATATATTGCTTTTTAATTCACAGACATTTAAGTACTTAGCAAAGGAAATAGGTACAAACAAACACGTCTCATGGACGGGGAAATGACGGGAGAATAAGGAGGCAAGATGCCTTCTGCAGGAACATAACATAATTGGTCTAAAATGATTTAAGGTTAATGGTAGGGGATTTCAAAGCACTTGTAAAAAAACAAAAGAAAAAGATGCAGTTCCTCACTTCAGGCAGTTAGCACCTCCTTTAAAAAGCTGACATAGCAGTTAGTTAAATGTTTCTTCATGGTTAATAGTTCCTTTCCCACACCTATGGATCTTATGACAGGTTAACACACCCAACATGTAACAAATCTAGCATCTTAAAATAAATATTTTTAGTTATTTACAAATCTAACATCTTAAAATAAATATTTTTAGTTATTTTTGACTATGTTTTGTTTGTAATGATGTTACCAGGAACACTGTAATACTTCTGCTTTTTAAATTCAAGGCTATCTGATGATGATAGTGGGTTGAAATGACAATCTAATAGAGATGGAAAGAGAATCCATGTGCATGCTCATATGCAAAGAGAGAGGACAAGAAAACATGCTCTTTCAATAGTGAACCTACCATGCTAATCATAATTGCCTAGTTTTATTTATACTTAAAGGTCCTGATTCATGAAACCATCCATCTTCTAAAAGCAGAGACTCAGAGTTGAATATGTTTGACTTTGAACTTTTTCCAGATTTAGGGCTGAATTTCAAAATAAAGAGGCAGAGTGAGAGAGCCACTTGCCCACTACACTCTTCTGTAGGCTGCCTGCATCTCTTGTGTCTTGGCAGCAAGAGCTGCCCCTGTTGCTTCTGGGTCTCAGGAAGAGGCTGCAAAACTCCAGAACTGATCACATTTGAAATGTATGTGACAAGTTACAAGAATACGTGAAAAAAGTATCACATCAATAATATAATCTCTCACGTAGCGTAAGAGCATTATGGCATTCACATACTCCTCCTCGAGACTTGTAATATTAGAAGTCCTTTCAAATTGTCACTGCTAATAAAGAACCAGCCCACCAAATGTGGATCTTGCTTAAAAAAAATTGCCTCACAAAATATCACCCGCTCATCTGTAGCTCAAATACTTCTCCCTAACTCAAGCCAATAAACCCGTTATGCCATATCAGAAAAGTCCTGTGCTCATCATATTAATGTGAGTATAATGCATGCACAGGCACACCCGCATGCATGATAGTAATGTTCTTGTAATAAATTTCAGGCTTTGTGGCTCTGTAGCTATATCTTCAGCCTTCTGCCCACAAATCCTCCTCCTCAGGGATTACATCTATTATTGCAAAGCTCATCTTTTGCCCAAACATGGAATTTCTCAACCCAAAGTTGCATTTTCTTGGGGCCCTGGGGCTGAATAATGTTCAGTGTTTCTTTTGAGTGCAAAATGTTTAGATTTGAGTAGTGCTATCAATTCCAAATATATAGAGGCACAGGCATATTTTCAAAGGACTCCAGCTCAACTTTCTATCCTTGGAGACAGCTTCCTCTGAGAGTTGAACCAGGGGCTCAGGTCGGAGTCTCTGAACCTCTGCATTAGTTGGCCTGTGCTGGAGGGACAAGTCTGTAGCCACATTTCCACACTGACATGCCTCTGTGTGCCACCTGAGTGCATGTAGCTGCACATCTGAACCAAGCTGCCGCCTTTACATGGTGAGCAGTCAGACCAGGGACGGGGAAGTGCTCCCTGCTTCCTTGACCTAAACGTGTCCTGCAAGGCTGACTGGGAGACAGGCATCAGCTCAATTCACACCCAGAGGCTCAGAAATCCTGAGAAACCACTGACTCCTTTCAAGCTGCTCACCGACTCTGAAAACCAAACCATCGACTCCACCTCCCTGCCTCCACAAGAGCAGGCACTGAAGAAACTCCTGAGAACGAGGGCTGCAGCGCAGCCCCCTGCCTCCACAACAGCCCTTGGCAGGTGATTTCTGCAACTGCTTTCTCAACAGTTTACAAAAATCCTCTATACTTACTATCTGTGGTCATTAAGAAGATGTATAATGAAACATTTTCAGTTCAGGGACCAGTGCTCCTTCCATTCACTACGAGGCCGCTTGCCATCTAAAAACCAAGGAGCAAGCCACGCGCTTCAGGAGCGGGAAGACGAGGAAGGAAGAGCCCTTGATGTACCCTTTGCCTTGTTTGCACCCAGGTACCTCTGCAAGTGTCCAGCCAACAGCAGAAAGTGCTGTGGTATCTCTATTGAAAAGGGCTGCTTCTTCAGCACAGAAAGGTGCAGGAAGCACGCGGTCAAACCAAGACTGTCCAAAGCCAACGTGTTCCCGCTGATGGCATCCAAGAGCAAGATCGTTTCAGCAGGGACTGAGAGGTCGTCTCTATAAAAGTGAGTATCGTTACTTAAATTGGAGGCTGGGGAAGCCACACCGTTGTCCTGGCTGCTTTCTAACCCGGTTTTGCTATGAAGAACTCGCTCCATCAAAACCAAACCTGCTTTTTACTGGGTGCCAGGGGCTCAACCTCAGGCTTTAAATTCACCCATCTACAAAACACCATCAGGCTTTTTGGGGCTCTTCCAGTGCTGTGGAAAGATTTGCCAGTGAAATTAGAGAACTAACGATCACATTTGTGAGCCTGCCTGGTACTAACAACTGCAATCAAAGCCAGTCTGTTTCAACTTCTTACGCCTTCTTGATGTGCCAGGGGTGGCAGAAAGCTTTTTTCATCTGCTTAAAGTCGTTACATGACTGACAGCTAAGTCCTCAGCAAATCTTTCAAAGAACAAAAAATAAAAGTCTCTGGCTACAAAAGGCTGTCACTAATGTCCCAGTCAAAGTGAGCGAAGCACTATACTTTCACATCACTCCTTAAAAACATGGGAAAAGACTGCTTGTTTGTAATGTTAAGAAAACACAAAATCTGGACTTGAGAAAAGGTAGAGAAAACCACATCAAATAAACTTGTGCAAGAGAGGTGGCTATATGAAAACCAAATAATCTAAGATGCATTTGAATGCTTGTCTGGAAAGCTCTGCAGTGCTCAGGGGAAGCCTGCAAAATATTTACTACAGCAAGTGCTTCACTGATGTTCATTTTCTCTCTTCTCCAGGCCATCACAGGTAAACACTGCCTCTATGGTTTAACACTTATCTCTATGGGGAAACGTCGTCTCTATGTTGAAATGTCCCTTGAAACAATACTTAAACCCTAGCAGAGTGATTCAGGAGCCAAAACAGGGATCATAGAATCATAGAATCATAGAGTGGCATAGGCTGGAAGGGACCTCAGAGATCATCTAATCCAACCTCCCTGTAATGGGCAGGGACGCCTCTCAACTAGATCAGGCTACTCAAGGCTCTGTCCAACTTGGCCTTGAACACATCCAAGGAGAGGGCATTCACAACTTCTCTGGGCACTTTATTCCAAAGTCTTACCCTCCTTGTACTGAAGAATTTCTTCCTAAGATCTAATCTAAATCTGTCCTCCTTCAACTTAAACCCATTTCCCCTTGTCCTATCAGTGGACACTCTTGTAAAAAGTCCCTCCCCATGTCAGGCACTATTTTAGATCACCTAGAATACCAAGCCTGGCCTTCAGCTGCTGCAGGTCCTCTTGGTCCACCCAGCCCATGGAGAAGTCTGAGATATCTTAGGAGATCTGAGATGGCATTAGACACAGGTATTTAGGGCTCTGAATCCCGACCTCAGTTTTGTACTTCTTAATCTTTATGATGGAAGTTTTTTGGAAGCAGGAATTCTCTGACTTTTGCATTCTGTACAGCTCAGTGTTTACAATAAATACAAGCTTGTAGCAATGCAGGATCTGATTAGCTGAAAAACCTTGTGTGTGACCTGTTGTCCTGCTTGAAGAGCCATCCAGATAACAGGAAGACAACTTTAAAGTGACTTGGAGCTCCATGCATTCCCTTGAACCTGTTCTGCAGCTGCTTCCAAGCAGCTGGTGAGGAATGCAGTCAGGGGCACCAACTGGTTGTGCAAGAGGAGGCACCATGGGGAGGGCTAGCATGGACAGCACAGCATCTCCTACCTGTGCAGATCTGGAAATGTCCTCTATTATGAATCATGACCAGGCAAACACATTATATGGTTCCGTAAATTCCTCTCTGAGGGAAACATGACACCATTTATTTTATCATTATTCCTACCCAAGTTTAGCTGCTGCATACACATGCCCCTAGCTGGCTTCTTCTGGTGCCATGGAATTTGGGAAGAGGACATCCAGCTCCTCGTGCTGGGCTCTGCTGAGGTCTGAACACTGAATAAGGTTCCTCCCAGCAGCGGCAGGGCTGGCGTGCGAAGCTGGCACTGGCACGTCCCTGCACAACCAGTTTTGTGCGTGAAGACAACACACTGTTTTCCAGTCCAATCACTTTTTGTCATGGTTGCAATTGAGTGAGTTACCTTGTAGGCTACGTGCTCACAGGAGGTGAGACAACTCTCCTTGAGGTCAAGGGGAGCCATTCTACTGGCTGCAGAGCTGGGCCGTCCGTACTGCGTGTGGGGAGCCAGGCTGATCTCCTAACAGCACCGAGAGCAATATAACTCAGCAGGCAGTACTGACTATGCAATCAGCATTTCAAAACTTGAATAGTAGGATGTCCCATGTACAGTGGATTATTTACGAGCTATCTAAGAGACACTAGCTATGGAAAAAGAGGCTGCTGGCTGCTTGGCACTGTTCAAATTTTAGGAGCTCAGTTTAGGGACCTATGTATCAGACTGTTACATACTTGTTCTTTATACTTTTAGTCACTGTATGTACGTTAATGCAAAAAGTACAACATGGCTTAGCTTTTCCTTCTCACCCTCTTATCACAGCGGCCACAAAAGTTCCCAGAGCAGAGCTGGTTGCTGCTATTTTGGAAACGACACAGAGATCCAGCTATAAAATTTTCATGCCCAATTATTATTTTGGCAGGCTGACAGCATGCGCCTGCAGATTGCATAGCAATTTTCTATTGTTCGTTACTCAATAAAATCTGAGTGGAATCTCTTGATAGATACGCCTCTAACCCAAAGGCCTCAAATTTGGTCTTTACTCTGCCAATTTTTCAAATGATATTGTAAACAGCAGGTTTTTTTGAATGTTAGAATATCTCAAAAAGGTCACTGAAGTATTTTACAACAGGGAGTCTCAGGCTTTCTGACTGAAATACTACCAGCTGCCTTAAAAAAAGAAAAGGTTCCTCTGCATTTGTACCTCCTGCTGTCTTGTATACTGCAATGCCATAAGAAAACCAATTATAAAATGAGGTTGAGAGTCTGATTTCAATCCACGAGAGCAGAGAAATTCAGTGTTTATGCTAGAACCATTACCATTCAGAGCTAAGACTCTGCTCAAACAGATTATCCACTCTGGCATTCCAGCTTTAGAACTATCCTCCAAATAAAAATGAGAACCCCATTTTGTTCAGTACTACGGGCTGAATGCACTATTGGGCAGTGTGAAGGCTTGGTCATACATAGCTTCGAGGGCAGTTTTGGGTGTTTGAAGAATGGAAGTTTGGCTCCTGACCTGGGAATCGGTGCATACAGAAATAATAACCAACATTTTTTTAACTTTCTATTTCACAGAAGTTCATCACAGCCTGTGGCTCTCGTATGATATACTGGCATGCACCTGTAGTAACACCACCACAGAGCAAAGCAAGGGTAGAAAACCAGCGGCAGTGGTCAGTCGAGCTGTGAGGATTTCCAGTGCACTGGAAAACCTGGAAGATATTGGTTTGGTAGTTAATACAGTAGCAAAGTCGATATCGGGGGCAGTGGCTGGCCCTGTTTACTGTTTCTGAGGTACCCGAATATTGACATTTGGCACAATCACTTTTTACAGGTTGCTCTCAGCTAAAGGTTTGGAGCTGCTGAGTTACAGCAAATTAAATGTCTGTAATCTGAAAATATAACCTGTACATAATACTTGTATTTCTACCTGGCTAGTATATGAGGTGTTACTCTTTTTTCAGATCTAAACTTTTTAAAAACTGTCAACAAAAATTAAAGTCAACAGGTGTTGTCTTCTGAATAAAATCATTACAGATAAAGTTACGAGACAATCATAAAGCCCTTCATTTTTCAATAAAATAGTTTGGAAAGATTTGTGTCTGTGCTTATGTACTACAGGTCTCAGCAGTCTCACTTGATTTAGGTTAATATAAAGCATTTTGTCACATGAGTGCATCTCTCCAGCTGCTAGTTTATTTTCCAAAATCTCACCTTTTAATAAATGAGAAAAAAAACCACCAGTATCTAGCTGTTGAGCTCACAAAGAAATCCTCACAGATATATCAACCCAGTTTAATTGTTGTAGGTGTATCTGTGGGTCTACAGAGAGCCTAGAGGAGCAAGAGATGAGCTGTTCCCATTTAGCTGTGTAGGTGCTGGATGCCTGATGACCATGACTGAAGTGCTACCATTGCCAATTACTTCAGAGAAAAAAGACACGGGAGAGTCACAGAGCTCTGCAATTCGCAGAGCAACAGCACTTCGCTGTTTGCTCTCACAAGAAAAGGACAGGGGCAGGCATCATACTTGCACTTTTGGGTGGTCCTTCAACTTTGTGGAAAAGGGTAGAGGAGAAGAGACCTCAACCTCCTACAACTTCCCAGTTCCCAAACTACAGCAAAGTATGTCTTTTACCATGCCAGACTGAAGCAGGGGGACGCACGTTTGTGTGGGAAGGTTTCTCTAGGCATGGGC